GCTTGTGTCAAGATGGAGACCATGCGCAAGCATTTTGTAAAACATCATTGGGGTGAAGGTCAGGGTTCTTACAATGTTCTTATCTTTGTAAGAAAGCTGACCAGATCATCTTGATACAGACATTGAAAATGGTTCTTGGAGGGACCAAACCCAGCAAGGATGGGTTGAGACTCTACTCCACCATAATCACCGCCGATTCTTTCACGTCCTTCCCGAGCAACCCAGTCATGAACTCCAAAGTGGTCCGGGCAAGCAACCCAGTCATGAAGAGCCAATCCAAATTGTTTCTGGCACCACTCTATTCAACAACTCCTCCCTGCCCCCACCTGAACGTGTGAAAGAGATCTTTTCTCAACTGCCACAACCACCTCAATTCAACCAGCCCAATCGACGTGAGGCTGGCTTTAGAGATACCCCCTACTAGTCCTGGGACCTGGTATGAGGGCTCATTTCTCATACCCCTCCTTCCCCGGGGTATGAGGGGTATGAACAAAACAAAATAGACAAAAAACACAAGAAAATGAAGACGAAAAAACAGTGAATATCTCAGCTGTTGTGGTATTTCAAAGGACACAGTAGAGTAAGTCAGGTAAAGTCCAACAAATTTCTCTTATGTAGTAAAGGTTCATATTTCATGAGAAAGGTTTAAGGAAACAAAGAGTAATAAAAGATTATTACTTCCAACTCAAACAGCTCAAGGAAGTACAAGGGTGATAGAATGAGAATTTAAAACAATCAACTAATGCCAGTTCTCTGGTACAGCAGGGTTAAGGTCTAAGTTGTAAGGCCCAGATGGCAACTCAGATTCAGCAATCTCTTGTTCAAGAAATTCAATCTGGAGTTGTTTGTCTTCCCCATCACTAATGAGGAACTGAACCTTTTCCTCAAGGCGAGAGATTTGGTGGAAGAGTGTTGCCACATAGGCCTCCCCTGTAAAGAAAAGAGAAACCCATCAGGATATGAAGAGGAGAAGATGTAGGAAAGAGGGAACTACACACAGGAGGGCCATCTGCAAGGCAAATTGTTCTTCTTGCAGGCTATGCAGGAGCCTGAAGGCTTTGCCACTCTACAGTAGAGGGACCTTCCCTTGAGCTTACAAGGCAGTCAACCAAGCTACAAACAGCAAGGAATCAGCCAATGATCCAGGTAGAAAAAGGGGCAAACACATGACTCACATATTTAAAGGGCATAGCCAAGTCTGGCATTAAGTCAGGGTGAAAATGATCCATGGGGTAGGGGTTTTGTTCTACTAGTCCTGGGACCTGGTATGAGGGCTCATTCCTCATACCCCTCATACCCCGGGGTATGAGGGGTATGAAGGAAGTAAAATAGACAAAAAAAAGAAGAAAATGAAGCCAAAAAATAGTGAATTATTCAGATTTTGTGGTATTTCAAAGGAAACAGTAAAGTAAGTGAGATAAAGTCCAACAAATTTGTCTTATGTAGTAAAGGGTCATATTTCATGAGAAAGGTGGAAGGAAACAAAAAGTAATAAAAGATTATTGGTTGCAACTAAAACAGCACAAGGAAGTACAAGGGTCATAGAATGAGAATTTGAAACAATTAACTAATGCCAGTTCTCTGGTCCAGCGGGGTTAAGGTCCAAGTTGTAAGGACCAGATGGCAACTCATGTTCAGCAATTTCTTGCTCAAGAAATTCAATCTGGAGCTGTTTGTCTTCCCCATCACTGATGAGGAACTGGACCTTTTCCTCGAGGCGAGAGATGTGGTGGAAAAGTGTTGCCACATAGGCCTCCCCTGTAAAGACAAGAGAAACCCATCAGAATATGTAGGAGAGAAGATGTAAGAGAGAGGGAACTACACACAGGATGGCCATCTGCAAGGCACATTATTCTTCTTGCATGCTATGCAGGAGCCTGAAGGCTTTGCCACTCTACAGCAGAGGGACCTTCCCTTGAGCTTACAAGAGAGACAACCCAGCTACAAATAGAAAGGAATCAGCCAATGATCCAGGTAGAAGAAGGGGCAAACACATGACTCACATATTTGAAGGGCATAGCCAAGTCTGGCATTAACTCAGGGTGGAAATGATCCATGGGGTAGGTGTTTTGTTCTGCCAAAGAAAAGGGAGTAGTGATGAGTGAGGTGTGGCAATGGAAGGGTGGAGTTGGGGTGAGATGAGCTCACCAGGTTGATTAATTGTTGGTTGGATGGATGGGGGAGTGCTTGTTGGTTGAATGGATTGGGGTGTGTTGGCTGGTTGTGGCAAGAGCCTTGGGTCTATGAGTTCTGGGGAGATCATAGTTTAGGGGAGTTTGGTGGAGGTTTGTTTTTTTTGTTACTGGCAAAGTAGGGGAGGGTAGCGAAAACGATTGCGATCGTTTTTGGGGAAATCGGGCTGAGGGGGGGGAGGAGGTGAAGCGATGGGGAGTGAGGAAGGGGAAGAAGTGTGGGGAGGGCCCTCCTTTTAAGTCTGTAGGGCCCTCAGCAATAGCTGCCTGCCTGAGCAGGCAGCTGCTGAGGGCGCCAGGAGCTGCCTGCCTGAGCAGGCAGCTCCTGATTGGTCAGAACGGTTAGCCTGAGCAGGCAGGTTCTGATTGGTCAGAATCTGCCTGCTCAGCTGAGCAGCGCGCGTCGGCGCGATAGTAGCGCGCGCTACTATCGCGTCCGCGAAACGACGTGTTTTGCGGACGCGATAGTAGCGCGCGCTACTATCGCGACCGCGAATCGACGCGATAGTAGCGCGCGCTACTATCAGACCCTACATATGCATAAATATTTGATTCATTTTTATGCAACTGTACCTTGTGTTACATATATATGCCAATGCACAACAAGTTCAGGCATGATTGCCTGTCAACTCAGGCCCAATATCAAAATCTGAGGTCCCTGTTGTCTATAAAAAGGGGCCTCTCAAGTGTCCATTTCCCCCTCAATCAGGCCAATCCACTGATATATAGCACACTTCAACTACTCACTACAATATCTCCACTCCAGAGACCTTACTACCCCTCTATTCCTTACACCTACAACACTTTTTTCTGCAAAATGTCTGCAAACAACAACACCACAGACAACTCCCTCACCTCAGCCATGATCATTGATCATGATGAACAGTCACCCCCTCCCTACCAACAACCTGCCCCCAGTGAGATGCCACCCCCTTCCCAGCAACAACCAGGCAATGCTACCCAACCTGCCAACAGCACTCAAGACACCCAACAAGTGCCTACTCAGCCCACCCACAGCAGGCCCCCCACCCCACCCTCTGCTCAGCCACCAAGGAAAAAAGCCCGCACTGCTCCAGCTCTACCAAAAGAAGGACAACTCATAACCTCAAAAAAAGCAGTCCCCACTGCTCAAGTGGCCATCCCTTCCACCTCAGCCACCATCAGAAGGGAGGTG